CCATCGGCATTCCCGGACATAGTAAAGCAGCACAGGCACCCCACTCATGGCCCAACGTCCAAATCCTCTACATTCTGCCATTCTACATCTGCAATGTACGCCTCCTGCGACTCTAACATGGAAGTGGGGGCCCCTGGTAATAGGAGCATGGTTTTGTCAGGGGCTGCCTTCCATCATCCAAGTGGCTCAATTTTCGAAGGCTGCTGCTTGCGGACGCTTCGTGCACCAGGGCCATGGTGCCGACCTCTCTACAACCCGTTCAACGAGGGCTTTCGTCGGATAAGCTGCTTGTAAGATCTCTCTATGTGCATGTGTATATATATATAATATGTATACATGTATGGTTGTGTGTCAAAGCCGAGCATAATTAGACTATTAAGGAGGTCAACCTACCAGGTTTCGAGCTCGGTGTTGACCCACAAACCGTTCTATTCAACACTTTGGCCTTTTCACGTTGTCTAGTCTAGGTGAGGTGGCTACACACTCCGCACTCTCCGGCCGCCAGGCAACCGTTTGATACGCCGTGCTCAGGGAATTAGGCTAGCTTATGATTGCTCTGCTTACGTCATCACGATGAACTGTGTTCATCTATTTTTCACAACCAATCACCCCCTTTGGCACATGCGTAAACCAATCAATCAAAACGTTCCAGAACTACACTCCGCCTTGCAAATGTGTTTTTCGTTGATGTCCGAAGAACCGTCCCCACCTGCACCCTGGTGTCCCAAAACAGAACCCCGCGACACCATGCGAACACCTGTGGTGACCCACCTTCATGACCTCTGGGGTGACCGACCTGAGACATGGATGAGGACCGAGGATGTGACCGAAAACCGGGAGACTCCCCCTGAGTCCTGTCATCGATTTGGACTGAGAGCCCAGTGCTCCACCATGCTCTTTCAAGGCTTTTTAACCATGCGCTCGTGGCGCTCGGGAAACCGGTGAAATGCCAGTGCCGTTGAAAGCCCGAGGGACGACAGCGAAGCCCACCAAGTTGTTGATGAGGGTCACAGCTGCCTTCGACAAGTCCACTGGCTCTTGATCCTCGACAAAGATCCAGCAAAGGCTGCGTGGTACCATTTTGGGGTGAGCCCACCCTAGAAATCTCATGAAATCAAGAGGCCAAAGTGGTGGCTGATGTGTTGTACGTCATTGGCAGTTTGGTGCGTCGTAGTTCTTTGGTTGTCCATGCCATTGGTGTTTTTTCACAGCCCAATTTGCGGGGAGCAAATAGGACTGTCCAAACATCGCTGTCCCCACCATCAACCTGGGTGCAGTTTGTGACTTAGGTTTTGATAAAAAGAAGCCCACTAAGGGCCCCTTAAAGGGCCTCTTATTTCCGGTGTTGTTCCAACAACGTCCAGTGTTTTGGGGAGAGCAGGGCCTTCCACCTTGAGACGAAACGTCACTGTTCGGTGGACTGACCGTTAGTTGAACGACGTGCGGAACCTCGAAAACCAAGAGCATGTTGCGGCACCTCTTGTCCTTTTGGGCATGCGGGCATGCTTGTTGCGGCACCTCTTTTCGGAGTCGTTCGAACCGAAGTTAGGGAAAAAAGGCCATGGATGGAGCCCAGCCCTATCTAACTCCAAAACCTTAGAGCTGGAGGATGTTCGGCCAGGTTCGGCCTTGGCCAGCATCAGCCTTTGGAGTAGCCGATCACCCAGCGCCTGGGAGCAAACAATGTTCTTGGGATCGACACAGTGTCACAGTTTGATTGCAGTTGCTGGGCCAGATCTCTTTGAGCTCAGTAGTGTCAACATTACCTAGTAAAGTAAAGGCTTCCACTGTCAACATCATCTTGGTGGGAGCCTGCAACATTCCCTCCACAAATTCAGCAATAACCGCAATAGCCATTAGCTTTAATATTGTTGTCCGGGGCCAAGGCTACTGCATGCTATGATATGCCTACAGTTTCCTTGTTCCAACACTCCAACACAAGACTGACGTTGATCAGCCGGCAGCTGAAAACGGTCTCACCATGCCACATGTCACGTCCCTTCTGGCTATTCTGCGGCTATTCTCAATTAAGGTGAAGCGACAGCACTCCCGTCCACTTGTTTGAGCACCTTTTCTCCAGCCATGTCCAGGTGGGTTTGTTTCCAGAGGGTTCCAATTCCATACTTCCATCTCCTCGTGCCACCTGGCGATGTCTAGGTTGACGGCACGCCCGCTGGCCGTGTTTACGCAGAGTTCATAGGACGGGCAAACCAGCAATCGACTCTCTCCACGGAGGAGCTGCATTTCCAGCTGCATCTGCAGCTGGACATGGCTGCATCCTCGTCTGGAAATACTCCGCTGAGGACCCACCGCTGAGGATCTGGACGATCAGGGTGGCGAGAAAAAGCCAGTTCGCCGGTGTTTTCCGTGTCACTTGGCCGGCCAAGTTGGCTTGTAGGTGGTTCAGCTGCTAGTTGCCTCAAGGAAATGTGAACTGCTTCTTCTCTTCAATGACCACCTTGGCTCCAAGAAGACAACTGCACGCTGACAACATCATCAAAACAACCCGTTCTCAGCGCCGCTGTTAGGTAAAAAACAAGTTCCACTTTCACCATCTTTGGCGTATGTGGGATCTGAACCGAGATCCGCAATGGTGCGGACGCGACCTTGGGTCGGGTCTGGATTGCTCCGCATGTTGGTCGAAAATGGTCGAAACGTCGCGCTGGGAATCAGCGCACATGGTCGTCACAGATTGGGACGATTCCAACGCAAAAAAAACTACAACGAATTAGAGGAACTGGGTGCGTCGGAGGCAAGGGTGCCCTCTCATCACACATCCAAGCTGCCAAATGTCGTTGAAGTTCCTGGAGCCTGGAATGGACTTCTTCGTCCGCGTACTGCTGCTTTTTCAGCCAGTTCAGATGATCCTTTAGCCTCAGAACAAACATCATGTGCCCTCTGTTCACAGGGCCTGCTGGGACTACTGCGCAGGAAAAACATATGACGCATGAACTGCATCAGAAACACAAACTTATCCTTCGAATGCCTTAGGCTAGGAGGGAATGATTGGTCCTTGATGCTGCCTTGGCAAGAATGTAACAGCACAACAAGTTGCAATCCCTTCATGGGCTTCCGTTTCCTCCCCTAAATTGTCGCACACAGTCCATCGCGGTTGAATCCCGTCCGTCCGACCACCGAACTGTGATGAACTGGGCAATGTTTAACAACCCGCCGTTCAAGGAAACATGAAGAACATCACTGTTTTCGGCCATCATCACAAACAAGTGCACTCACTCGCTTCTTTTCTGGACTCTCTCAGGCTGGCGGGCATGCTGATTTATGCTGATTCAATATAGTGGATTGAGAGTAGATGGCACAGACCCCAAGAGTCAGAGGTGATTTATATGAACCCCCATGTAAAGGACATCTTGAGGTCTGTGCCATCTACTCTCAAACCACTGTAAATGACAATGATTTCTTCCAAAATTCGCTCCAAGCAGCTTGGACTCCTCATGCTCCAGCTGTTTGGCTCTCATGCGGCCAGCTGCCTAGGCGGCTCGGGACTCGGGACGGGCACATGTTCACCACACGGCACGCGGAAGGTGGCGATGCTGACGATGCTGTTCAGAACTCTCGTGAAGGTATCCTTTGAATTGTGCCAACGTACCGCCTCCAGCTACTAGCTAGCCCAGCAGATCACAAGTTCTGCACCAACACACATCCCAAAAACAGGTTGTGTAAGCTCCTTGACCGCATTTTAGACATAGTATTGCCATAGCAATAGGTTGCTTTCCCAAGGTCTGACACCTTCTAAAACACCTGCAGCAACTGCAAACATCGTTGCAGCAAATGAATTTGTTCCAATGACTGGCCAATCAAATACTCACATGCACTCAAACACACGTATATTTCCACAACGTGCGCACCTCACGCCCCTTCTGAAAAAGGGGCGGCAGCATGATTAGCAGGTTGTTGACGTGTGGGAGACAAAAAAATCATTGCTTTAACCCGCAGCCTGCCAAGCACCTGGATGCGAGACATCACTCTTAATTTTATTGTATCCCGCCTCCAGCATGAAGGCCAAGATCCCTGAAGGGCCAATCCAAATTTGACTCAACTGGGTGCTCCCTGCCTGTCCAACGGAAATGGGGTCGGAGGGGTCAAGTGGCCTAAGCAACAATATACATAATATCATATGTGAATGTCCTGTATCGCGTTGTTTCAGCTGATGTTTGTTTTGAGCTTTAATCTCTTTGAGACCAGGGTTTTGGGAGGCACCAAGTTTTCAAAAACGACCAACATTGTCTAACTGCATGGCTGGCCTTGGGTTGGGCGACCTTTCTTTTTCGGGATGTTTTTTTCAACGAGCTTTGTTTGTTGTTTTTTCCGCACTATTTGTGGTCAGGGGTTGCCACAAAGAGAAAAGGAAAGAGAACTAGCACAGGAGGCAAGGGACAGCAGAAGGAGAAGAATAAAAGAAATCGGAAAAAGCTAGCATAGGAGGCAAGGAACAGAAGAGCAGAAGGAGAAGGAGAAAAAGGAAAAGGAGGAAAAGAGGGAGGAAGAGAAGGAGAAGGAGAAAGAGAAGGAGAAGGAGAAAAAGAAGGAGACAAAGGAGAGAGGAGAAGGAACAAGAGAAGGAGAAGGTTCTTCCTGCTGCATTCTTGCAGATCACAATGCAGTATCTGAAATATGTAAATGTATGTCCATGCATGCGTATGTATATCTATGTACGTGTATGTATGTAAGTTTGTCTATGTTTGTGTGTGTGAATGTGTGCTTGAACATGTGTGTACTGTATGTATGCATATGTGTATGTGTGTGGGTATGTATGTATGTACGTATGTATGTAGGTATGTATTGTATTGTATTACATTGCATGCATGCTTGCATGTATGTAGTATGTAAGTAAGTAAGTAAGTAAGTAAGTAAGTA